GCTGATGTTGTTGCCAGCGTACTCTGTGCTATAGTTTGAAAGATTTCTCTCATCTCCTCCATCTCCACTGCGCACTAATGTCTTTCTGACACAACGTACGGGGTACAGAGTGTCGCTCACAACAATTTATCACCAGTCCAGCTGTTTGGGTTCCAAAGGCCCCAAATCTATGGCTCGAAATCGCAACCGGGATCCCAGTGACCCAGGGGCTTTTCTTCCTGGAGCTCAAAGGGGTTTAACCCTATCCTTCCTCCGCTACCATGCGAACTTTTTGCTGTAACCAAAAGGGCTGCGGTCAGGTTTCATGTAGACTCAGTAATGCTAATTATGCTATGTACAATGACATTGATCTCCATGGAACATGTTTCACAAAGAAGCATGCAGCCACATAGATTGATCAGAGTTGCATCTTGGCCTGGTGTTGGGGGGTTCAGCCTTTAGAAGTGGCCAAGGCTAATTCATTACTTGATTCAATGAATCCATCATATTCAATCAGCTCTTGAGGGCCAGAGGCTTTAATGTGCTAGTTGCACTTTTGTTGCATACAAGAGAAACAAAAGCCAGCATGAAATGCACAGGAGTAGAAAGGGCTTTAGGAACTGCAGTACTTCAAGCAGAAACGACAAAAGCCTGCTTTTCCCACATTCCCAAATGACATCATCTGCAGTCGTCAGGACATTTAGAATGGTTTGCACTCCACTGCTGGCAAGGTCTCTTCGATTAGTTCAAATATTGTTTTCCTTCTGTCCACAACTTCTCTTGACCTCAGTTGCAGGTCCGCCTTGACTGCGTTCTGCATAGCTAATGGGAGCTGTACTTGACAAGCTCCAACAAACTGCGGATGCCAGGTGAAATGTGCAATGGCACTCTTGCTGTAGGGGAAGACAATTCAACCTACAAGCAATGGCCTCCAACCTACTAGCGATGGCCTCCAACCGACTTGCGATGGCCTCCAACCTAAAGCTCCAAAGCTGGGGCAAGTTTGAAGCCAATCAACTTGGAACGAGGATAAAGCTGCCTCAATGTACTACTGCATCCGATATGTACTTACTCAGCAATCTCAAATAAATTGGAGGACAAGGAAAAGGCTTGAAACTATCCAGCCAAACAAACGGTCATCAAATGGTTTTTCCCTTTCAACAGTTGGTAATTACTAGCATGTCCAGCTACCCGTGCACCTGAAGTGGCTCCGATGCTGGCGACCTCAGAGCAAACAAAGGCTGGAACATGCTGGCCATCCGGCCTCTGATTTCTGCGCGGAGGCAACTTCAATTTGAAAAGCAGCGGCAAGTGTAGGAGACATCGTCCCCACTAACACATCATGACATCATAGTCTCTCAAACGGCAAAGTATATTATAAAAATTGACTGAACATCAATCATGTCTGAGCTGGTCTGACTCCATTGCAGTTGCCGCGCGCACGCGAGTGCAAGGCTTCAAAAGCCGAGTGCCTGAATGCAATCGACACAAACTGCCACTGTGCGGAAATGTTTCGACGTTTGCGGAAGTCTTTGCTGGCATTCGAGTTGTCCTGCTTGCTTTTTGTCCGTCTGTGTGATTTCTATATCAACAACAAGGACATGACCAATTTGCACAGTCTCGCTTGAAGCTGTCTCCTCCGCTGGCAGCCTCACTTTGACATGACGACAAGATTGTGAAGCATCAAGGTCACGACAAGGTGATATCCTTTCGCCAGCTGCTGCTAGCCATGTTGATTCTTTGGCAACATGATCAAAAACGATAAACGCCTTAGTCTATGTCAGTTTTGCATTAAGCACATAAACATCAGTCTCTGTGTACCAACTTTATGCACATACTACTGAATTCTCAGAATGGTTGCCCTTGCTCGACGTGTGTTTGTGCGTAGATAATGGGACACCAATAATGTTTGTGGCGTTTGTGGTTTCCGGAACGAGGTACATCATCAACTGGTGCTAAACCACAGAAACCACCTACAATGTTGGAGAGTCAACTATAGACAACAATGATAACAATAATAAGCCATAGCCTCTCTTCGCAAAGGCTCTCCCCGTTTGATTATTTGTACTACATGATAATTGCTGCAATTGCTTCTCCTTTACTTTTTCACCTCCCTCCTCGGCCAAAATGATCGTTTGCAAAAGCATTCCAAATTCTAGCGCTGTTGGAATAGCAAAGTTCCCGCCAGAATAGATATTGTGGATTTGACCACGGATTGTATAATGTAGTATACCGTAGCTAACTGATGTCCTTCTGTTTTCTTTCGGTTCTCGTTTCTTGTTCTTTCCAGTCCATTTTTGGTCCTGGGAGTGTTTGTCAAATTTCCTCGTTTAATTCTGTCCAACAGTTTTCAAGGGTGTAGTCCAAAGGTGCCCTCGGATTCGGTATTGATTTGTAATTGTTTAGGGGTCGGACTCCGACCAATGTGTATTATATATATATACATGGTTCTTTTTCCGGTTCCAATACTACACCGCTGAGGATTCTATTGATGTCTTTTTGTTTCCGACTATGTTTCTATGTTGTGTTATGTTCTATTCTTAGTCGATCGGTCCTGGGACTCTGGTCTGGTCCACCTTTACAGGTCCTCCTAAGTATTCAAATTCAGAGGAATCAAAAAGAACAATGGAAATGAAAGGATTTGTTTGCTGGCTTTCCTTGTTTCTTTCAACAACAATTCTACAGAAAAAACTCGTTTTGCATCCCTTTCCAAAAACAATTCAAGAAACATATTGTAAATAAAAAATCGGTGTATTGTGTATTGCAAAGTATTTCCCTTTGCCTACTTTAAACATCAATTCCTAGGCCTGCTTTGGGGCAAATCAGTATATATGATATATGTAGAGTTGCGAACTCCCTCAATTGTTTGTAGGGAGACTGATTATCATCAGTGATCCACTGCACTGATATACAAAGCATGCAAGAAACCCTGAAACAGTGAGACCCCCAAACCAAATCCAAAGAGACCCTAAAAAAGTGCACCCTGTAAGAAGTGAAGCTCAAAGCCAAGGGCACAGAACCCTAAAGTCATGAGGCCCTAAGTCAAGCCCAAAGAAACCCTGAAGAAGTGCAGTGCTAAGCTAAAGAAGCGTAACCCGCAAGCGAAACTGAAAGAAACCCTGGAGAAGCGAAGACCAAAGAAACCCTAAGCAAGTAAAGCACTAAGCCAAACCCAAGAGACCCTAAAGAAACGATAGCATCAGATCGTCTCTCTTCAATAGAAAAACATGGATTCCGGAATGTCGGCAGAGAGCAACAGTCTGTCCAAACCTCTGGGTGTTTGGAACGATTTGTTTGAAGTTGCCATGCTTGGCTACTTTGTCCAGACACATAAATTCAAGTTACGTTTGAGCTTCCCTGAGGCCACTTTGGAAGCCCTCACAAATCCAGGCCGGTCGAAGAGGTCGCGAGACGCAAGTTTCGAGAAGAGATGTTGCACACCCGGACGCGTCAGAGAAGTTTAAATGTGTTTAATAGTGTGGCGAAGTAGCCCAACAGCAACATGAGCACGACATAGCCTCCAAATGGCCCAACATGATCCCAAGGTGGGCCCAAAAATAGCCACTAAGTAGCCCAACATGACCGAACATGAGCCCAACATAGCTGCCAAATGGTTCAACAGTGGCCGGGTGGCCGAGGGGCTGGTTTGAACCGTGGCCCAGACTACACATGCTCTAATAAGTAAACACACCCACATACTCTCCATCATATATATATGTGTTCCCATTGAACCCTCGCTCCGTTCCCACAAGCAAATCTCTGGAGCAAATATATTCTACTATTACTATGTAATTCTTGTTCAGAGTGATTCTACATGACAACAAACAAACATATCATTGAAACGTGTGTCCATCATGTTCTTTAGAGGAACCTGAGCCGTGGTCGACATCTTCATGTGTTGAGCACGCACATAATGCAAAAACTCCACCGAACGGGTTGTTTTCTCACATTGTTTGGAGGACACTGGATGGTTCCAATGTCCATCTGTCGACCTTCTTCGCCCACTTTGGGATGTAGCAGTTGTTCCCTCAAAACAGGGGCTCCAATCTACCTCCACCTCTTCCGAGCCAAAACTTGAGCAAGGGCCATCCTTCACTAGTTTTGCTAGTCAGACCTGCAATCATTCTGAATTCCTCTGTTTGACCTTGTTTGCAGGTGGAGTTGCTATGCTCTTAGCAGCTTGCAGCTTTTCTGACAATGTGTGGCCGCATGACCGACTTCTTGAAGCTGCTTGTTCGCAGTGCTGCTTGTTTGGTGGCAATTTGCAAAAGCTTTGATACGTGTATATATAGTCAAAGTGGAAGGGCAACCAAATTGTATCTGCTACATACTACAAATCTACTAACAGCTTTGTAGGAAAAAATATGCCAGGCAGCGTTGAGGGCAAGTTCTGCACCTCGCAATGCGAAACGAGACGAAACCATGCTCAGGATGCTGAACGCAAACCGCATCCAAATTTCAAGATTGATTCATGCCATTGTCATGTTGATTCAGACTCTTCACCACACCCTTGCAAAAGAACTTGCAAAAACATTCTTCCATAATCTTCCATATTCCTCCTGTGACTCAAGACTAGTCTATCGGAGGCTGGAGCCTATCGGTGACACACTACGTGGCTAGGGAGGCGGTGGAACCAAACTCAACTGGGGACTCGCGCAAGTGGAGGTGCTGCCTCATTCTGAATGGATGTGCATGGCCTTGGGATTGGCAATTCTGGAAAAGCGGTTCTTTAAAGGTCCCGATGGGCTATATAATGCATTCTTGACCATCAAAGAAGTCGAGTATGAGGTATGAAATGTTTGAGTAAAATGGCGCGTTTTGGCACACTTCTTTGGAGATCTGGTGCTGCTAGCCAGCGCTGAAGGTAGCAGATGTCATGATCAAGTTGCCCCTGTTTCGCCGCCATGACTGAGGGTCAAGCATTGACATCAAGTTGCAACGTTAAATCTGGAGTACAAGGACCATCAAGCAGCTACAAGTCCTCTTTTCTGGCGCTTTGTCCACGTGCGACTCAAGTTGGATCACTCTCCGGGGCGAGCTGACCACTCACCAGGCACCGGCCAATCTTTCAGCTCATGGTTGCGGACGTCACAAACAAACATGTGGCCAGGCGCATGTGTGATCACCTCAGTAAGCCCAAGAGATTCCACCACCTCCGACTGAGCCCAGCGGCCCACCAGCTGTCTCTGAACAATAAACACAACTATAACTATAATACATATATATATAAAAATTCGTCGGCCTTCTTTCTCAATGCGCTTCGCAGGTGAATCAAGAAAAAATAGATAGTAATAGAGTAATGGAATCTCTCACGGATTCCCGTCCCTTCCGGACTCATCCTTTAGTATGGGCGCCATATCCAGTCTTTCCGCCAAACCGGAAAGAAAGGATATCCCCCTGTGTCCCCTGGTGCCACTGCCAAGCCGTAGGCACCAGGCTCGAACACCTTAATAGTTAGCGAAAAGCGGAAAAAAACCTCACTCCAGCTCTGTATCCACGTCCCCCTTTCACTTGGGAACTCGCGAGCTCAAGCGCATCTCGGGTTTAAAAGAGTGAAACACTTTTGAAAAAGGCACAACATCCTTCTGGGGCAACTTAAGATCAGCTACCACAGCTAATCCTTCGTTGATGTACAGTCTGGCCGTTTTGCCACCTTCCGGCAACCATCAATTTATCAAGAGAGCCATGTCGGGAAAACCACCAGGTGGCTCCCCCTGTCCGCAGAGAGTAGGGGCAGAACTGGAATGAGTCGAGGTTTACAGCAGTTAAACACTTTGCAAACATAGCCCGCCATGCGGACGAACTGGAACAAAGCTTTGCGTGTGGAGTATTGCATTGTTTCCAATGCCGCACCCATTTGAGCGCCAACTGGGGTGATAGAGTGCAGCTCTCGGTCACTCCCTGTCATTTGCCCCCCTTAGTCATACCTAAGGAGATCACAGCTGGAGAGCGAATAGATGTCATAAACAAACCTGCATTGGTTAAACTGAGCACTTCACCAGTACCTTCCTGTTGTTGCCAGGAGACCCAATACAAGCGAGGCCGCCCGCACAAAGACGCCCCCTGCGAATCAATGCGCCAAGGCACTTTCTGGAAAGACTCACTCATTACAGCCCGGTCTTCCAAGCTCATACTGCCCACATTCAATTCTCAACAAGTTCGTGCACCTGAGCCCAAGGAAAGCACTGCCTGAAGTCCTCCACAATGCGCGGAACGTGGTGGAAAAATGAGCTTCGTGGATCCTTTAATGCACCTTTTCGGTCTGCGTTCAACCCGCTCACACCCTGACAGGGAGGCCCAGCCCCCACCAGGACAAGACCTACGTTACTGAACTGAACTTGAGGGCCAACGCCTCCACGTCTTGACGGGAGAATTCCACGATGTCGTCGAAGAAGAGCGTGTCAGGAAAATGGCTTTCCACAATCCGCTGGGCTTTGGAATCCCGTTCAACGCTAACATGGCCTGCCATAGGCAGTCCGGCCATGTCACGCGCTACGCAGCAATACCATCAAACAAGCCAACACTGAGAACTTGGGCAAGGTCTTCCTCATCAGCCACATCGCCTCGCGCCTGCGCGTTTAGAGCACTCACCCCATACTCTGTGAGGCGTTGAGATGCACACAAGCCTCCTCCGTCACAAGAGGCATCTGAACAAGTCACTTGGCCATCAATGGGAACTCGAAAGTCCATCTGGGCTAATGGGGGCATAAAATAAACCTCGCAAGCTCAATCTTGACTTCTTTGGGGAGCTTCAACCTGACCACTGGTGTCTCGCCCTCAAAAGACTTCATGTGCTCAAAGACCCCGTTCAACCCACACAACAACGCCCTCCGGGACATGCAAAGGTACACGAAGCCTCCACACACTATACTTGCAATTCACGCAAGGTGGACTGTCCCCGTCGAATGAGTTCAAAAGCGAGCTTGTTGTAGACCACCACCTTTTCTGGCTTGGGAGTTGCGAACCCCACCACACCATCAAACCGTGATCCTTGAAGCTCCCCCACGAAAACTCGCTCAGCGGCCTTACGTGGATGTCGTGGCAATCCCATCTCCGTGTACTGCGCGCGCAAAGCCTCCGCCTGGGGGGACACCGTGCCAGAGACCTTTTGGGCCAGCCCTTCATCCACTCATTCCAGCAAGTCAAAGTTATCCAATTAGATGCGATATAAGGTGTCAGCACTGGACATAGGCCTATCCTTTCTAAGTTCACTAGATGGACACGCTGTTCACAAAGCCCATAGGGAGCACTCTAGAGACCAGCACGCACTCCTTTCCTTTCAGGCTTGTGGGAACCAGCTCTGTAGGTACAACCTTGTTGAACCCCAAGTACCTCTTCCAGGCCTCCGGCACCTTAAATAAACAAAAGAAACAACGCACATCCTCGCTGCTGAGGAGGGCGATCTGCCATTCTTCCAGGAGATATGCACTCAACCCCGAGACCCCAGGGAGAGTAGTAATATCGCCCCTTCCAAGGAACGGCAGAGGTGATTCACTGGGATCAGGCTCATGATAAGACGCTGGGTTTCGATCCCATCCTTGAATTCGCCCTTCCCCACTGAGAACATGCCATTGAGGAGAGGTTTGTCTCCAACTTTCGGTGGATCATCAATGGGAAATACTTCACACACGCCTGCTGACACCAGCCCTTTGCAAACATCAAACCAGTGTTCATCTTCGATCATAACTCGAGGCGGTTTAGTATATGCCCAGTTTTCTTCCGGCAACAAAAAAATCATCAAAACGCTCCACATAAGCCTTTGTACCTAACCTGCAAAAACGACTCAACTCCAATGAAGCTACTCCCTCTGCAAAGCTCTCTGAGATGGCCGGCCAAAATAACTTCTGTGTCAATTTCACTTCATCTCCGCAATAGTCAACATTTTTCCGTGCAAAAAAGTCCGTGAAACTAACGTCCGACTCCGAAACCTCCCACATGGCGTTTCGTTTGACGAGAGCGCTCAGGTTTTCAGCGAGTCGCAACGCGTGTGCTGAGGGGGCTTTGCCGCCAACGGCCGGCATCTTCCATCGGCCAAGGTGGTTCAAAGCTGCAGCCACACCATGGTTCCACTCTTCGGGCGACGCGCTGACCTGAGGAAATAGGCTATTTCTCATAGCCCTCTCGTCTCCGGTCGAGATGGAGCGCATCTCATTGTCCTTCATCACATAAGCCGTCACCTTTGAGTATATTTCGCGCATGTCCTTGGCGCCCTCGATCTTGATCCTCTTTCTCTTCTTCTTCTTTTTCTTCTTGGCCTTCTCCTCTTCTTGCTCGGGTTTTGCTCCTCCCGCTTCTCCAGGAGGAACCACATCCACTGCGCCCCCTGGACCTGAGCCCCGACCTTTTCCTCTTTCTCTCATTTTTTTGGCCTCCTTCCGCAATCTGCTCAACTCGTCGTCGAACCTCTTGGATCTCGCTGATGCGCATGAGGTTGTCGGACCAGGCCTTGACAGGACATGGATCTGGACATATAGGGATCGGCCGACATCGCCTTCAAGACAGCTTCGTTGTTTGTACCTATCACTCGTACAACTGCCTCCCTCTGTCCTCCTGACAGCCTCACCTCCACTAGGTTACTAGGTTCCCTGCAACCTCTCCTAACTCCTCCCAATACGCTCCTCTGGCTTGAACTGCTTTCCAGCCCGCTATCCCTTCCAGGCTGACATCGCTGACTTTCTTCCGTCCTCTCTCCAGGGACCGTCTTCTACTGCTTCTCTTGCGGCCGGCCTCCTCAACCGTCTGGGTGCTGCTAGCCGGCCGTGCCATCCTTCTCATTTTCTCCTACCAAAGATGCCCTTCCTCCTGTTCTCCCAATATTCGTCGTTGCGAGCAGTATGTTTCTTTCCTTTGTTCTTTCTTCTTCTTTTGGGCTTGGATCCAGCTCCAGGCCCACCCCAACGCCCACCGCGATAACCAGGCGGAGGAAAATCAGGCGGAGTAGGAGTCCGCCGCAGTACACTCCTTGTGGTCGCCTCTTCCCTCTCTGGTGACTCCTCTCAATCTTCCCCAGCCTCAATCTCTGCGTCGTCCTGCTCTGTCTCCTCGTCAGCCTCCAATCTTACACTAGGCCTTGAAGCCTAGCTTTCCTTTCCCCCATCTCCTCCACGCGATCTGCTTCGATCTTTCTTTCCCGGCTGAGGCCTACTCTTCAAGGCTAGATTCAAATCCGCCTTGGAGCGGCTCTCACTGCCTTCTGAGCTCTCTGCCTTGCGATCTTTCTTGTTCTTGTGATCCTTCTTCGAATGGCTCCCGGACCCTTTAGGAGCCTTGGATGGACCGGGATACCTCTTCCTACTTGGTTCTGCACGCGGTGTCCCCTCCCTGCTGGATTCCTTCTCTTCTGTACGATGGTGGCGGACCTCTTTGGCGACCTCTGTAGTGGACTCCTCTCCTCCGCCCTCGCTTCAACCAAGGGCTCAGCTGTATCTTCTTCCTCTGGCTCCTTCTTGACTTCCACGGGGCTCCGACGGCGGCGGCGATCCCTGTCCTTTTTCTTCTCTTTGGAGTTCTTTGTATCCTCCACTTCAATCTCAGGCACCGAGCCTGAGGCGGCAGCAGGTGGGCTCTCGGGCTGTGCTACCGCAGGGGATACCGTGTGTGTGACCGGATCCTCCTTCTCCACCAGGAGCCCTTGCTCCCGTCCCAGGGGCTCCCGCCCCCGCTCTACCCCCCGACTTTTCAGGGGGGCTCAGGGGGGCTGTTCACCAACTCCTTGTCGAAGCCGATGTGAAAGCTCAAGGAGCCGCAGGTAAGTTGTGTCCAGGAGGGATCCACTCTCCTCCCGAAAAGTAGTTGTACTGCCAGCCCGAATGGGATACCGAATACCCTCGCGAAAGCCACACAGCAAGTACAACTGCAGTTACGAGTACCCGGCTCGTGCACAAGCCGCGAGCCTCCCGAACCGCCGGGAGACTCACCACCCATCTGCTGTGAGCCCAGATGTACTGGCATCGAACAAAATGCCGGCGACGACTCGTTTTAAAATACGAATACGGGTCGATTAATATATATATATATTTATATATGTAACAATATGATATATAAATGAACAAATCATGTTGCTTCATCCTTGTTTTGCCTTCCTGTGTTTAAACGGTATTGCCCTCCTCTGCGTTCTACCAAGAAGCCAAAGGTAGTCTTGCATTCTTCAATGCATTCTGCGGTGTGACACCACAGGCCCAGAACACTGGAACTTCTCCGTCCTGGTCCAAATTGTCACACATGTCACGTCGCAAGTCGCAAATGGCTTCCAAGTGAGTGTTTTCATGTCTCAGTTCTGCTTTTCAGCGTTGTCAAAGATGTTTTCTAAAAGACAAGGTTGAACAAGTAGAATTATTCAAACCTGAGTCTGCAAGAACGGCGGTTTTGTTGGTAGAAGAAGCTTGATGTGTTTGACTCGTAGACAGTGGGAAAACGCAAAATATACCTCTATCATCTTCGATGACTCGATTGCGCATCACTCAAAGTGGCATTCTTTACACAGCATTATGGTAGAGTATGAAAGAAATGTGGGATCTTATATATCCTCTTTTTGATTTTGCCTCGGTACGTACCGGGTACCACCCTCGACAAATGCTTGTCATCAACACACTTTGAGGTGGCTTGGCCATCAAACAACATCCCTCAGTTGTAGTTCGGACTCAGGACCAGCCAGACTCAAATCCACTGGCAAAGTCACTTGAACAAAAAGAACTGATGCTTGCCTTTCTCCAGCCTATCGGAAGGAGCTCACAAGCGCCCTGTTGTCTCTTCCAAGAATTGCCAGTAAATGTTGCTTTACAAACAGCGAGTCCACTCCAATTTCGTTCCAAGAATCTCTAAGCGATACTGGGTCACCATAATCTGGTACCGCGAGATCCTGACAAGGTCTCACAACAGTTCCAAACATATGTTCACACAAAACAAGTCGAGTCAACGATCAAGAGTTCAGAACGCGAGCAAATGCTAAGTAAGTTGGGATGAGACTGCAATGGCTATATGGACTACATCACTTCCGTCGATCTTGAATAATCTGCATCTCATCCAGATGTATGTATGCATGATTACTATGCATTTACTATCGGATCGTTTACATGTGGATGTCGTGGGCTTGGGATTGTGGTGAGTCTTCTGAGCCTCAATGCCGATCCTTGATGGATGTCCGATTTGAACAGGAGGGCCTCGACATTCACCGAGACGAGATTCTCAGAACAGGTTGGTTTCCTTCTAAGCGAGAAAATGGTAACGCCTTGAAGAAAGCGGTAAACAAACACCACTGGCTTAGGTGTCGAGGGAAACTAATGGGAAAAGTCTAGCTTTTTGTGACCTTGTCATGACCCCTAATCAAGGTGAAGAGTCATCCTTTAGAGGGCCTCCATCTGTGAATCTTCTACACAAGTGCATCGTGTGACTCTGGTTAATTATTGAATCTGTTTATGAAGCACTTCATGACAAAGCACCATGCGCGGCAGGGTATTCACCAGTGATCGTGGCCACTTTGGGAACATCTTCTTCACGATACGGACGCATGGACACCACCATATGACCTCCAGAGACTGGATCGGACATCGGTGTGTTCCATCGGTAGCACTCTACTGCACTCTGCCAGCTCGTGTGCAAAAGTATCTTGCGCATTCAGAAAAGCTGCCAACTTCACTGCTCACACATTTGATGACGCTGAACAAATGCCACCTTTGTTACCTCATGCTCAATTTTATTGCTTGGCCACAAATGAACCAAATACGTCCTTTGCATTAAATTACATTCGACTTGTTGTGGAGTATTGCAAAAAACAAACTGTAAAACCGTGACAGCCTTTGAAAGGGCCAGCGCTCCTGAGGGTAATTGATGTGTTGAACATCGGCACATTTCGCCTTTCCTGTCAACGGAGATCGAAGTTCAAATACCGGTCGAACCCACAAACTTCCCCTCACAGCCAAATGCATATCCTTTAGAGCAACTCGAAAATTGACACTGCTCCTTCTTGAAACCACTCCAGTTCAGCTGAAAGCAGTCTTGGTTGTTGTGCCACAGTAAACTCCGCATCAGGCCTGAACATGCCGAGGGGTCAGCTCAGCCTCTGCCAGAAGGTCCTCCCATGTGAAGGAACAGCCCAACAAGAAGCCATGCCTCAGAGAAAGAAACAGTTTAAAGTACAAATCATCAGAGCTTTACACCTTAGATTCTGTCCCATCGGCTTTGTAGAGTTGGATGCATTTCAGAAACAAATGCAATTACTTTTCCAACGATGCACGTCTCCGGAAAATCTCCAGCCATGTCTCATATCATTGCCACATAGATCTACAACGTCTTGACGCTCTTCCACCATGACACCTGACGTGGAAACCGAAAACAGGTGGACAAGCTTCTTTCTCCATCTATCAGATCCGCGCACCCCTCTCTAAAAAGGCGCGTGCCAGGAGAGGCACTGAGACGTAGGCACGGTACGAGTACAATCTGCAAGCTTTACTGCGCTCACACGAGGCCTGTGGATGAGGTGTGGCCTTTGACCGTGGCTTGAATGGAAAGGCCTTCAATTTGAAGGTAACTTGATAAGCAAGGTTCGAGTGTCGAGAGTTTTAAATTTATCCTCCAAAAAGACTATATTATATATTAATGCTAAGCGTAAAGTCTTTTGTTTTGCCGATTTCGAAAAGCGGCCATACTGTGTGGCTGGGATTTGATGGTTCAGCTTTGCCTGGGCACTAGCGTGGAGGTGTTTCAAATCACAGCAAAGACTGAAATAGAGCTTGTAGGCCAAAACTGGGTACAAACGCTTATGACCTCGTCTCTTTTCCAAGTCAGGTCTGCACCTGGCCTAGCGGCCTAGCATCAAGCCTGCCGATCTGGTGCCAACATCGTGCACATGAAAGCCCACTACCGCGCGTGCCAAGCTATCGACCCGGGGAATAGCCCTTGCCTCTTGATGTCAAGCGCAAAATCAGATATTTCAGCTCAGACTACGCACCATAGCCATCCTGCTCAATTTCAAAACCATGCGTGACTGCGTCAATGCTGGGGCTGGATGCACTTGTGTCTGCCTCGCGCTGGTCATGCTCATGGCTCGTGTTCCCTGGTTTGGGATTGTCAGCAACGCCAAACATTTCGGAGAACAAATTCTCTGGGTCCTGCGGCAAATTGCTTCGTGGGAATGACACCCAAGCCTGGGCATTTGAGCACGGAATGCATCCGGCTCCGTGCTTGCGGAAAGCAGCAGGCAGCAGGTTTGGGCCAGAAACAGGACCTCCAAGGCTCCAACAAAAACCAACTAGCGCCTCTGACTCAGCCCCGTCTGCGCCTCCTGGGTTTGATCCATGGCACCTAAGGTTGAGCCATCACACAACCAACCTATGGCGGCAGAGAAATGAGAGATAACGGGAGATTAGGTCTCCTTAGCTCATCTAATACATTCTGCAGTATGTCAGGCAGAGCTTTCTGATGTGGCAAGCATTTCAATGTTCACGTATGAACATGGACAAGTATAGGATGCAGCTGGCATTGGGCGAGGGCCCTTGACAAATCTTGACAATATGCATTTCTTGGATGTTCTTGGAAAATTGGCAGTCCCATGCTCTGCCAGTCCTTCGCGCCAAACATGGTACTTCGGCAGATCCGTACCTTGCATTGTGAGATTCGGAAGAGTCAAGGGGCCTTAGCGAGATTTTCTAGACGTGCTTTGACACACAGACAGGAAAAATTTAATGGCAAAAGATGTGAAACACAGACCGAGAAACTGAAGCATTTAGAGCAATCCCTGCAATTTCACCCATTGCAAGAAAACGCGGGTAAGATACCCAAGACATGACAAATAGTTATATATATATATTGTTTTTAGTGTTCCCAAAAACCTAGGAACCACTTCGACCATACGACGGTTTCTTCTACGTCTGAGGCTGTAGCTTCCCTGCTACTACAGCTTAAGGCTGCTTAAGCTACCCTCTCCATCCCCTCCAAAGAGAAACGAGTTCTGTTCTTAATTAAGCCACAAAAACTAATAACACAAGTTCAAAACAGGCCGTGCAAAACACATTCGCTTTGAGGCGTGGCACGAATATCTGCACCTGGGGCAAGGCGTGGCTCAAAGGAGCCAGGCCCTGTGTGCTCCAGTAGTGGGCAAGGCGCTGCATTCTTAACACCTTAGGTGACATCTTAACAACCACTGCGACAACAGCTACAACGCAACAAGCCGAGCAAGCCAAAACTGCCCAGTCAGTGTTTCAAGTTGGCTCGCAACTGTGCTTCCTTGCACTGGAAACAAACATACATGACATGTACAAAGGGGCATGGCCATAGGTAGGACTCTAAGACCATGGATGCAACCTGAAGCACTCTTTCTACGTACACCCTTCACGATCCCGGTTCATATGTATTTGCTGGGACATTTGGCATGTGAACCTGACACATTGAAGCGGGGGGGCTTAGCCAGGTGCCTATCCATTGAGGGGCTACTGTCTGTGGCGTTTTGCATGCAGTATTCAGGATGAGCACATGTGCACTAGAGTAGGTTGACCATAAAGCAGCCCCTTGTCATCCGCAGGTGAGCTCCAAGGGGTTGCCAAGAGACCCCACCCTGCTCAGCTTTAAATGGTGCGAAAGCAGCACCACGAAAGTGATGAAGCTACTAGGGGCTCCTGGCATCGCTACTAGGAGCAAGGATGCTACTGGGGCTCCTGGCCGTACTACCAGGAGCAAGTAGCTACTAGTACGACAGAGTAACAAGAACTAGAAGCTACTAGGGGCTCCCATGCCTTAAGGTGTGGCACCCAAGACGTGACTCTTCAACGAGCAAGCCGAGCACCAGCCGCATTGACTCCATGCATACCTCTGCCCCTAGAATGGGTATGTGACAGAGTTTTGAATTGGTATTGTCTCCTTGTTTGAAAGTCAATCTCTTCCCTTCACGTCCCTTCGCGACGCTTCGGGTCCCTTTGAGCCCCTTCCGCCCAGCCAAGAGGAGCAGAAATCTCTGAACTGCTCGG